CTCCAAATGTTCAGCAGATTCAAGACAGAGCCGGCATGAGCTGATGAATATGACCCTTTAGGGTGAAAACTAGACCATGACCGTTGCCCTCCAAACACCAAATCAGTTGTGAACACGGATGGTGTGTTTGCAATCAGGACAGGCGTGGTCCTGGCTGGCCCCCGGGAGTCCCACTGCATGCTCAGTGGTTGAGATCAACAAAGTGTCCAGCGTAATCTCGGTGCATTTGGCAATGAAACGAATGAAGGGACGCACGTCGCCCTCGTTGGCTGTGTCTAGAGCTGCGTAGTACTCGGCCCGTTGCTCTTTGCGAATGGTGATGGGCGGGTATCGCGCTTGCATGAGCACAAGGTTCATCAAGAGGCGTGACGTGCGCCCGTTGCCGTCCACGAACGGGTGCACGTACACCAGTTTGTAGTGCGCGAGAGCGGCGTACTCGACCGGGTGCAGCTGCAAGGCCTCGTCCGAGTTGAGCCACTGGACCAGCTCCTCCATGTGCCGCTGCAGGTCCTGAGGATGCGGAGGGATGTGATGGCCTACAAACACTTGATTGGTGCGCAGGCGCCCTCCCTCCACGGGGTCCACGTAACCCAGCACTCGACGGTGGATCTCCAGGATGTCACTGACGCTGATGGTTCCTGTCCTGGATAACAGCGTGGTGTTGATGTACTTCATGGCTGCGTCCACACCAATGGCCTCATTCTGCTCCTGCAGGCTCTTGCCGGGGACGGCGTAGCGCGTCTCGATGATGTGACGGATCTCGGATAAAGTGAGCGTGCTGCCCTCTATGGCCACGGTGTGGTAGATGTGGTGATAGTAAGTCTCCTCCATCACCCGACGTAGCGCAGAGTTGCCTTTAGGAATGGACATGAGTCTGCGCACCTTACTGTCTATGATGCCGAAGTGACGCTGGTCAATCTCCTGCAGCAGCGGTAGCGTGAGGTCTCTGCTCACCAGTGCCCTTTTATTACAAGGCGAGATGGCCAAAGCCTTGGAATACAGGTGGTCTGCCTGCACCACGTCCTTCTCCTCCTCCAAAATAGTCCCCAGCTCGGTCAGGGCATCCACATAGTCTGGATTCAGACTGAGTGCATGCACCAGCAGCTTGTGGGCTTTCTCCCTCTTGCCGTGTTTCTTCATCTCCTGAGCCAGCTGCAGCGCCGCTCGGGCCTCAAAAATCATCTCTAGATCACAACAGGAGAAAAAAATGATGTCATTAAGCACTCTTGGTGACCTTTTTGTTTCGTGGTGAGACTTTATAATGCAAAATATGTGCCTTAAATTAACTCGGTGAAGGTTGGAAAAAACAGAACACATCGACCATCCACTGATTTTACAACCACTTGCATTGTAGACAGTCTCTGTAATGTTTAAAAAGAGACTCAATAGCTTGACTGATGGAAAGCAGGAAGTTTATGCAGCAGGTGGGTGGGTACCTTTGCTAGGCTTGGACCTCGGAAGAAGCAGGTCGAGGCCTGTGAGAGAAACAGTGAGGCCGGTGGTCTCTACAGCTGGGGGCTGCTCGGAGCTCCCCCACAGCCGGCAGCGAAACTGTGCGATGGCATTCGGGGAGCCACGGCATTGCTCCTCCACTCCGACCAGGGGCGTCAGCAGGGCCACCAGAGAGCCCAGGAAGACACACAGAAGCGGGCCCCATCCTCCGAGGAGACGGTCGCTAGTGTATCGCCACGCCGTCACAACCGCCATGGCAATTTCGGGCTAAATCCTCCATTCTCTACGTTCACGCCACTCTTTCTACTTATACCCCGGTGAGGGGCGGATGGTTGAGACTGGAAACCAACCGGGTATCAACAACACGTTAACGAACCTGCAACGAACCTGCGAGGCATTCCAACATGTCCTACGAGAAATATCCGGTTAAAACAAGGGCAAACTTTGGTTCAGCAGTTGTTGTTAATACACCACAAGGCTACAAAACATACACATCATCGGCGTTTGTCGCCTTGACCCGGAAACATACAGCGAAATCATTGGCCAGGCTCAAATAGAACAACGACGATGATTGGGTAAAATCCAGCAATACAGCGAAAGTTCGTAGTACTCTCTGATTGGATGATACCGATAGCCTGTTCCCAGTATTTTGTCTGTCAGGCACCCGAAGTCCAATGTACAGAGCAAATAGACACGTTGACTTTTTATTACATCACAATGTTCAAGACAATTTTATGGTTAACATTATTTAACATAATTTTCTTCATCTAAATTCATGGATGTTTAATCTGCACTGCATTCGTTGTTTATCCTTCGCTATATTTATACTACAATCGCTGATAGTGTACCAAGTGCAACTTTAACAGAAAAAACAAAGAGGGCAGCAGTGTATCGTTTTTCAAACCACACTTTATGTGTGGCACTGTTGCAGTAGTCCGCAGACCGTGTTTTCCAACCAAACTGAGCCGAGGCATTACATTCGAAAAACTCTTGGAGCACCACCAAACAATAAAACAAACCTACATTGATGATCTTGTCTGTATTTACTCTCAAATGTAGTCACTCGGAGTGTGAATGGCAACAGGTGTATGCTGCCTTCTGCCATCTAGTGGAAGCGCATTTAATTGTTTTGCTTGTCACTGTGCGTCGCTGGCATAGATGGGTGAACGGAGTTACATTAAACTTGTCAACAGCAAATTTTAATCAGAGATAGCTTTGTATGTCCCATAATGTATTTTTGAAGCTGATTTTTAAAAACATTAACTTGTTTCTCGCACATCACGTGTTTCAGGTACTTTCTTGTTTTTTTTGTTGTTTGTTTTTAAGTTTGACCGATAAAAGCTTCTGCAGTACAAATCTTACGGTGCCCTGTAATTTATACCTGTGACGTTTAGAAAAAAAAATCACAAATTCCTTAACGCACTTAATTAATAAATATTATGATGATGATAATAATAATAATAATAATAATAATAATAATAATAAATTATTAAAATTATTATTAAAACCTGATTTAATGGAGAACAAAATGATGTCAGATTCGTAATCAGCAAAATGATTCAAAGAAATTGTAAAAATTTGTTGATCAGTGTTATTTGGCAGAGAAACATAATTAGAATGAACCCATTAAGTGGCACACCTGGTAATCTCCTCTGCACTTGTGTACAAAAAGGACAGATTCAATAGAGAACATGTGTAGAAAATTTGGTTTCTGAGCAAACACACAGGTTCATAAAATTTCTCCTTTGGTATATTGCAGATGGAAAATCTCTTTAGATGTATCGAATTTTAGCACTATCATCATAAAAATGCTAACTAGGTATCAGATAGAGCCTAGACAAAACCATGTAATGTGGCAATAATATCTGTAATGATGAAATAATGACTACTGTGACTCCTTAGATATTGATGTACTTCATATTACCTGAGGAAGCACAGGGGATTTTGGGCCTGGGCTCCTCTCAGTTCCAGCCAAGTCACATTTATTTATATAGTCTTTAATCACAAAAAGGCTCAAAGGGCTTCTCATGAAGTTGACAAATATTAACGATATCCCCTGATCTTAACCCCCAGGAGGGCAAGAAAAAAAAATGTGGGGAAAAATGTGAAACCTTGAGAAGGGGCTGCAGATGTGAGAATCTCCCTTCCACGATGACCAGGCTGCAATGTATGCTGAGTGGGCAACATTTGACACAATATTGTGAATCCTTACCACGTTTTCACCCTTATTGCACCCAAGACATTAGTCCTGGGTCCTCATGTAATAGTTAAATGAAAAAAAAAAGAGTATACACACAATAATATTAATCAATAATAATTTTGCACTGCTGGATAATGTGAATCTCAACTGGGTAGTCTGGCCACAACATTAGGTATAGTTGCACAAGTCTCCAAGAGATTAATTAAATATTGTTAAATTGATACAATTACTGTACAATACTTGAACTAGATTGGGTCTATTTAATAGCCCGAGTCCTTATGTTTTGACAAATGATACATTTCTCTAATATTGTGCGATTACTTAGTAATTAGTGCTGTATTATTTACACAAGCACTTGGTATTGATGACTGGATTAGCGGACAAGTTGTCACCAATTTATGGTATCATTGTTACAAAAGTGCTTATTGGTTGTTACGGTATTGATTGTCGTGGCCAGCGAGTGGCTATACAGCTTGCTGTGATCCAATTCCAAGATGGTCTCTTGCTAATTCTATTTCTAGCCGTCCTTCATATCATCTACACACTTTTATGAGATTTTATGACTTTTATTAAGGGATTTGATACTTTAATATGTGATGTATCTGAATAAAGATAAATAGGCTTACTTGCATTGGCCAGCAGCTGTAAACTGCGGGTGGTAATGTAGTGTAGATTGATTCCTGGCTCAATGCCAGAGCTGACATATCTTCAGCAGATGGCCATCGTGTGTTATCAGCTCTAAATAGCTGATACTATCACACACTCAGCTTGACGCTCCGCAGGAGCAAACTGTGGCCCCCAAAGTGTAGGAAACATGAATGTTGATGCCATCATCTGTCTCTCAAAGCCGAGAGTCCCGCTGCGTCTCAGTCGCAGAGGTATCACCCTTGATAATAACCTGTTGGAATGTGTTTGATCTTCATTATCTTCTCACTCGCGTTGTTCGTATGCTGCAGCACTCTGCAAAGGGTAAAAGGCAGACTGGAGAATTTTGAGTTGTTTATTGGGATTACGATTCCCCATTTGAAAATTCATCAACACGTTCAGTGATAAGGAGTGAGGAGGGTATTCTAATTGTTGCTTTGTTGTATACCAGTCCCATCCCAAATTTATATCAAAACAAGAAGAGGAAAAAAAAAATACAATTTAAATCCCATCTTAAAGTTGAATAACACTACTGGACTTGCTGAGGCAAGTAACTGATGACTTTTCTTCTTTGCGCCACACAGACAAACACAGGAAGTGAAAATGGAAAGTAAAAAGTTGATATCTTTCCAGACTTACGACAAGATGTTGGAGTGCGTCCGTGGGAATTTTTATTCATCCAGAGATCTGGGCGTACTGACGTTGGACCTGAAAAAAGGTCCAAATTTCTGTTCTAGTTTACAAAAAGTGTTTGACGGGGTTAAGGTCAAGGTTCTGTGCAATCACATGCATTTATAAACCTTGTTTTGCGCAATGGGACAAAGCTATGATGGAACAGCAAAGAGCCTGCCGTAATTCCTTCATTTTCCGAGGCGCTTATTTAGGTAAAATGCAAAATCACGATCCTGAGGGGGGCAATGAGATTTCTAGTCCAGCTTCTGCTTGATCCATGATTGATTAAGACGTGTCTCTGGATATTTTTTGCTTATATTGCATGGTGTATGTATTGAAATTATACATGCATAGTATTCAAACATGCAGGTTAGATGTTGCTTTGAGGTAGCACACTAAACTATTGGTTAGCTTGTCTGCCTCACAATTCTGAGGTTTGAGACTCGCATCTTCGGCGGAGTCTAAATTGTCTATCGGTGTGAATGCAATTCTGAATGTTTGTTTCTATGTACTCCTGTGATTGGTTGCCCACCAGTCCGGTGCAAAGAGTCAAGCGCGTACTCGCCCTCTCAGCCGGATTAAGGCTCCTGCTCCCCTCCAGCTCTACTGAGGACCAAGCGATATAGAAAATGGAATAGAAATAATATTCAAAGAAAACATCGATAAACAGTATGCTTCAAGACACATGTTAACCTTCAACACAACAAAACAGCCATTGCCGAGGTATGAAGTCGCCAGCCACATCAAGCTCACAAAAAAGGATCTAGGTCTGGCATCCAGGGAATCCATGTAGGCATCTTGCTCCATTTTGATGAAGTGCCGCTCTCTTAGATCACACTAAGATTATGCAGAAAACGTGTTAACAAGGTACACCTGCTCCCGTACTGTCCAAAAATATCTGCTCGAACCAACTAAATTTAAAAGTTGGCTACAGACAAAACGTGAGCGAGTACTTCCACCAAAATAGAAACGGTCTCCTTTGCAAGAGCGTGAGATGATTGGGACGCGCATATTTGCCTTTGCAAAGCTGCGAGCGCGAGCCGACTGCATCTTTGTGTGTCGGCTTTTGGTACAAGGCGTCCTCTCGGCGTGGCAGAGATGTACAAACGCCAATCTGCTGCGGCTCAGGAGGTGTTGCTTTTCTGCTGTTCCAGTGATCCCTTGGAAAGACTGATTTTCATCATTTTAAAAACTTACTGAAGGTTTGTCGCAACAGTTACCCAGTTACCCAGCTGATGTCCGCTTGCCAATTCTTATTTGATGTTTTAAAAAATATATTGCACCCCCCCACCCCCCCACCCCGGAAGGTTTT